ATGCACACGTATTGGAGGAAAGGGCTGACGAGGGCGAGGAGCAGGGAGAGGAAGCGAGCTGCCGGGGCAAGGGCAATCGCAGGGGCATGAGCATGGGCGGGGGCATTGGCAGCGACCAGGGCATGGGCGGGGGCGGGGGCAGGGGCAGAAGCGGACACACACACACACACACGGGCAGCGGCCATGGCATGGGCGGGTGCATGGGCAGCGGCTGGGGCATGGGCGGGAACGGCAGGGACAGTGGCAGGTGCCAAGGAAAGGGGCAGCGCCAGAGGTCAGCGGCGCGGGGCGGGACAGAGGAAGGAGGGAAAAAGAGGGATAGGAGAGGGTCAGGTACGAAGAAGGACGAATTGCCGGACTGAGATCGCCCTTATTCCTGTCCCTGGGCCGGAAGCAGAACGATGAAACGCTGGCAGCCAGGCGGGCGAGCGCGAGCACAGGAGGTCTTCCCTCGATTTCGGCCCGTGGTCCAAGTTCGGGGCCGTTTCTAAGCGGATGCCAGGGTCGATGGCACGAGCGCCAGATGCATGCTCCACCAGGAACGGACAATACTCTCGGGCTCGGAGCCGTTGGCTGCGAGCAGTCAGTGGGCAAGTCTACCAGCGCGGGCGCGCGCGCGCGCGCGCACGCGGAGGCGGCTGCGGCCGCTACCTTCGGCGATGAACTCCCGCAGCGTCACCCGCCGCGCCTCGAAGGGCGGCGGGCACTGCGTACTCGGTGCCCAACCCAACAGCGCCCTTGCGCCTCCCTCCTCCAGGACAAGATGAGGCATCTGCTCGTCAGCGCGGTCTCCCCCACCCTCTTCGGAAGCGACCGGCAATGGCAACGAGGGTGGGGACGGCGGGGCCCGAGGACGACGAGCACGAGGACGAGGACGAGGACGAGGACGAGGAAGAGGACGACGACGACGACGACGACGACGACGACGACGACGACGACGACGACGACGACGACGGCGACAACAACGACGACGACGAAAATGATGCTGATGATACTGGTCATGATGTGACGACGAGGATGAGGACGACGTCGACGACGAAATCGAGGACGGTGAGAACGAAGACGACGACGCCGAGAACGAAGACGAAGACGAAAACCAAAACGAAAACAAAGACGAAAATGCTGACGACACTGAAACTAACGATCACGATGACGACGACAGCGATACCGACGACGAAGACGACGAAGACGACGACGAAGACGACGGACGACGACGACGACGACGACGACGTCGTCGACGACGACGACGAGGACGACGAAAACGACGACGCCAACGACGAAGACGAGGATGAAGTTGACGACAAGCGCTTCACTGCCTATACACCGACGCTATATCCGGCAATCGCCGTTGCCACCCCAGGTGGCCAGGCGAAGCACCACACAGGCGGGAAGAAGTGCGGGGGAGGGGGAACAGAGAGAAAAAGGCGGACTGGCAAACTGTTCACGCACCGACGACACGGCGGACCTTCCGAAGTAGACTGAAAGTCTTAATAGGTCCAAAGGCACGTGCGCCCCGCATCGAACGCGAACGTTCGCATGGAATCAAAATTGCATGCACCACAAAAAAATCAAAACACGTCCGCCCAAGGAAGAAGAGGAGGAAGACAGGAAAGGAAGCACAAGGATGGGCGAAGAAATACGAGAGTAAAGAACAGAAGCAGAAGGTGAAGGAACACGGGGGACGAGCAGGAAAGGCCCTCCTCCTCCCTCTAGTTTCTTTTCCCTTTCTTCTGTGTTGCCCAAACACTCTACGAAAATTAACAAACCCAAGAACCTAGCAAGAACTACCAGAAATCCCCAAGAATGGGAATTCCCCCCTCTTCCGCCTGATACTCCTCCTCCTTGTCCTCCTCCTCCTCCTTCTCCTCTTCCTCCCCCTCCTCCGACTCCTCCTCCTCCCACTCATCCTCCTCCTCCCCCTCCTCATGTTCCTCCTCTTCTTCATCATCTTCCTATTCCTCCTCCTTCCCCTCCCTTTCCTCACATATCCTCCTCCTTCCTCCTATTTTCCTCATCTTCCTTTTCCTCCTCCCCTGCCTCCTCCACCTCCTCCTTGTCCTCCTCTGCCCCCGCCTTTCCCTTCCTTCATTGCCTCCTCTTCATATTCCTCTTCCACCTCCTCTTCCTCCTCCTCTTGTTTCTCCTGCTCCTCCTCTTCCTCTTCCTCCATTCCCTCCTCCTCCTTCTTCCTCATCCTCCTCTCTTCCTACATCTACTCCTACTACTACTACCACCACTACTACTACTACTACTACTACTACTACTACGACTACTGCTACTACTACTACTACCACTACTACCACTACTACTACCACTACTACTTACTACTACTACTACTACTACTACTACTACTACTACTACTACTACTACTACTACTACTACTACGACTACTACTACTACTACTACTACTACTACTACGACTACTACTACTACTACTACTACTACTACTACGACTACTACTACTACTACTACTACTACTACTACTACTACTTCTACGACT